TGTCCCAGTTCCCCTTCAAAAGATGCTTTGGCCGACCTGGGTTTGGGAGGCACCCGGAGCCGACCCTCATCCCGGGCCGATTCGGGTTTGCGTTGACGTGGGTCCGCGCGTCCCCGAAGCGATTGGGGCTCAAGGCGGCATGAGTGCTTCGTTTATGTACGGTTCGATCCGATCAACGACGCCAGCCTCGACCATTTCTGTAATTTGGATCAGCTCGATCCGTAATGAATGTGTTCTGTCGTCCTCCTTGGGGAGCAAGCAACGCACATGGGACTCCACGGCGACATAGCTCACGCCCGCGAGGTTGTCCGTCTGCGCAGGTGGTGAGGCGACCACCTCAGCGGACAGAAGCGTTCTCCTTATGTGGTGCGTCTTATCCGTAAGGGCTTCGCCCCCTGCCGCCGGCCCCCTCTCTCGGAGAATGGGCCATGGAAGAGCTAAGTCATGAGGCCTTGGCGCTGTCGTGAAGCAGTATCGAAACTTCATGCGAAGCCGATTCGCAATCAGCAAAACCAACTGATCACAAGAGGGGTTACCACACCTGGCGATTGGTAAGACGTGTATGGTTTACGGGCTTGGTTACCACACCTTGCGATTAAAGGGCCGAGGGAGTTCTCGCAGTTTGGGTTACCACGCCTTGCGATGGATGTGCGTGAAGGGTGGCACCGAATTTCAGAAATGTGGCAAATCCCCTGTGTTTTTGGACCCTGACCCCGCGGATCTGCGTGAGGGGTGGCACCGAATTTCAGAAATGTGGCAAATCCCCTGTGTTTTTGGACCCTGACCCCGCGGATCTGCGTGAGGGGTGGCACCGAATTTCAGAAATGTGGCAAATCCCCAGTGTTTTTGGACCCTGACCCCGCGGATCTGCGTGAGGGGTGGCACCGAATTTCAGAAATGTGGCAAATCCCATGTGTTTTTGGACCCTGACCCCGCGGATCTGCGTGAGGGGTGGCACCGAATTTCAGAAATGTAGCAAATCCCTTGTGTTTTTGGACCCTGACCCCGCGGATCTGCGTGAGGGGTGGCACCGAATTTCAGAAATGTGGCAAATCCCTGTGTTTTTGGACCCTGACCCCGCGGATCTGCGTGAGGGGTGGCACCGAATTTCAGAAATGTGGCAAATCCCCTGTGTTTTTGGACCCTGACCCCGCGGATCTGCGTGAGGGGTGGCACCGAATTTCAGAAATGTGGCAAATCCCCTGTGTTTTTTGACCCTGACCCCGCGGATCTGCGTGAGGAGTGGCACCGAATTTCAGAAATGTAGCAAATCCCATGTGTTTTTGGACCCTGACCCTGCGGATCTGCGTGAGGGGTGGCACCGAATTTCAGAAATGTGGCAAATCCCTTGTGTTTTTGGACCATGACCCCGCCGATCTGCGTGAGGGGTGTCGATTTCGAGCCCCCCCAGCAATTCAGGGGGTGCTAAAAAATCCCGTTTGGGCCTCCCCCCCTCTCGCGCGGTCAATCAATTAGTTACAGTAACCAGCAAGAAGCAGAACTGTAACACTGGAAACTACAAGCTACAATTGGTACTGGAAACTGCGAACCCGCGCCTCGCAGCCTGGTGGCCCCACAAGGGGGCCGGCGGATTTATCCTCAGGTGTCCTCATCCCTCCTACGTAGTCTTCTCTTCTCTTCTTCTCCTCCCTCCCCATCCTCCTCTTCCCACAATTCGCACCGTACACCTTCGTCCCGGTCCGAGTTGATATCGGTCGCTGATCTTCTCATGGATGTTCGCCGAAGGTTTGGCTGTTGGACGCCTTTGAGGAAGGTTATGCAGCCAGGAGGAAGAGACGGGAAGAGGGAGGAGGAGGCGAAGGGCACGGCGACTTCCTACTGCCAGGGCCAGCGATTGATGCCCCAATCGTTGAATTTGGTCCGTCCCTTCTCCCTCGGCCTCCTGCTGATCTTCTTCCGCTTCAGCCTCACTTTTAGTATCATCATCATCATCATCATCATCATCATCATCATCATCATCATCATCATCATCATCAGTACCATCTTCCTTCCTCCATGGCAGGACGTCCATTACCAGCCTTTGGTGTCGAATGAGTCGAAGCGACCAAAGGAGCAATGCACAGTTTCTCTGCGCGGGGGGGGGAGAGGAAAGAGAGAAGGGATGAAAGGGGCGTGAATGGGGGAGGTGGGATTGGTAAGGATCCTGTCAGGTGGCTGGGTCACACCTGGGTGGGGTGGGTGGATGGGGTAAGGACACGGGAAGGGAGATGCGGGATGAGACTTGCATGCGTTCATATGGGGGTTGCATGTGTACACAATTGTGCTTGTGCACAGTTGGTGGCGTTTCTGGTGTTGTTCCTCGAGACACGCTCTAGGGAATCACCAAGAAATTCCCAGACATGTCCACGCATGTATTGGAGAGGCCTGACGGCCGGTGCCGCCGACACTGATCAAAGGGGCTAGGAGGGGGAGGGAGAGGCGAAGGAGGAGGAGGAGGAGGTGGAGGAGAAGGAGGAAGAGGAGGAGGACGAGGAGGAGGACAGGAACGAGCACGAGGACGAGGACGAGGAGGGAGGAGGAGAAGGAGGAGGAGGAGGAGGAGGAGGAGGAGGTGGAGGTGGGAGGGGAGGAACGGAGGAGCGGCGAGATTCGGGAGGAGAAGAGAAAGAGGTGGGAGGGGGAGGAGGGGGGAGGTGGACGAGGGAGAGGGGAGGAGGAGGAGGGGAGGATAGGAGTGAGGAGGAGGAGGAGCAGGTGGAGGAAGAGGCAGAAGGAGCAGGAGGTGTAGGAGGAGGGAGGATGAGCAGGAAAAGGAGGAGAAGGAAGGAAGAGGTGAAGGAATAGAAGGAGGATTTGGAGGTGGAGGAGGATGAAGAGGAGGAGGAGGAGGAGGAGGAGGAAAAGGGAGGAGGAGGAGGAGGAACAAGGTGAGGAGGAGAAAGGAGGAGGAGAAGGAGGAGGAGGAGGAGGTGGAGGTGAGAAGGAGCAGGAGTAGGAGTAGGAGAAGAAGACAAGGAAGATGATGATGATGATGATGATGATGATGATGATGATGATGATGATGATGATGATGATGATGATGATGATGATGATGATGATGATGATGATGATGATGATGATGATATAGATATGATGATGATGAGGATGATTGATGATGATGATGATGTTGATGATGATGATGATGGATGATGATGATGTATGATGATGATGATAGATGATGATGATGATGATGATGATGATGTGATGATGTTGATGATGATGATGTGATGGATGATGAGATGATGATGATGGATGATGAGATGATGATTGATGAGTTTGGGGAGGGTTGAGGAAGTGAGAGAGAGGAGGAGGAGAGGAGGAGGGGAGGAGGAGGAGCGAGGAGGAGGAGGAGGAGCAAGGCGGAGGAGGGGGGACGAGGATGTCGAAACTCCTTGCGGACGCCTCTGGCTTTCTCGAAGGCTACGGGGGAGTCGGATTAGGGGGGGCCCTCCGGGTCCCCCCCGGGACCCCCCCGGGTCCGGCCCCCCCCCCCGCACCGGGAAAGGGAAAAGGGAAGGGGTTTCCCTTCGAAGTATTGACGACGTTCAATCAATTGCTTGGCATGGCATGTGCAAGGAAGAGGACTCTGCTGACGGAGAGCGGGAGAACGGTGAGTGGAAGCTGGATGCGGTTAGAGAACGTCGAGCAGGAAAGAAAGCACGACGCGAACGGAGAAGCCCCTCACACACGCCGACAGGGTCGGCGGATTTTTACGTGTGAACTCAAGCCCGTGCCAGGCGTGTCGGCCAGATCACGATGTGCCAAGATTGAAATACTGTTCCCTCCTGGATAGTTCGAGGCAGCCTGAATGTGAGCTCACAGCAGCGGGGATGCTGTGTCAACTCCCGATCGTGGACTCGCGCTCGTGGCCCGCAGTGCGGCAGCAGCGGAATTCGTCCAGCGGGGATGTGTTGTGGCCGTCCCCCGGCCGTGAAGGTCCAGGGACGACGAATCGCACAGTGCGGCAGGTTCGCGTCGTGTCGACGCCGCGGCGACCCCGCCATGGGTGCTCAAGACTGAATGCCGCCAGTGGCCCAGAATCGGCCAACATGGAACAATCCGGCAGGTTGACCATTCCACGCGATGTCAGAAATCCACGCTGGGATTGGCGAGACACAAATCTGCCGCATGCGCCTGTCGGGCGGGGCTAAGACGAGGATAAATCCGTTCCGGAGCGTTCTGGCGCACTCTTGGAGCGGAACGCTCTGAGAAGGCCGCGGCGCACGAGACGTATTCCAGAACTGCCAGATCTCAAAGATTCTCGATTTACCATCACCCGAGTTTACCCTCATCCTGGCTTCGTCTTAGTCTGCCGTCCATCTGCATCCGCACAGGAAGCAGGGGGAGAGGAGGCGCCCGGTGCGGTCCCCGCCCTGCAGCGGCCGCCTTCCGGGGTGGTTGTGTGTTGCGCGCGCTGCAGAGCGCTGCTGTCTCGGGGTGATGGGGTCACACGGCTCTGCACGAGCGAAATGGGCACGGAAAGAAAGAATGGGCACAATGCCCAACAGCGTATCTTGCTCATTTTTAACAGGACTCGCTGTCCACGCCGCCGCGGCCTGTGTCCATTCGAGACAGAAGGCCGCCTGCCCAACAGCGGCCGCTGTTGGTTTGGGACAACATGTGTTGTTGGGCATTGTACCCATTCTTTCCGTACCCATTTCGGGCGTCCATCACAGCAGTTGGCAAGCCACCGCATCGATTCATCAAATCTGCACCCATTCACATTGCCAGCAGCAGCGACGCCATCACGACGTCATTGCTGCCCCCATCGTGCCAGAGAGGCGAACACGGTATGATCAGCAGTGGTTCACAACCATGGTGTTGCAGTCGTGGTTGGCTTGTTAGACATCATGGTTGTATCATATTTTCACCCGTGGGTCAGAGAATGAGTCTGGCGTCATCTCATAATGATGCGTCTGTTTCATATCCGAATGTTTTTACATGGGTGGTGCTGGATATTCATTAGCATGTATGCGGGATAAACGAGAACCCTCTTCAAGGAAGCGGACGAAGCTGATCAGCCGCTCCTCGAAGAGCTGCGTGCAGAGATTCGGTCTTGCCACTTCCGCGCCAGAGATAGACAAGTCGGAAGAACATCCGGCAAATGCCCGCACGCGAACGACGAGGAGGACGATTCTTCTGGCTGGCGCCTCGCCCGCCGAAAATCAGATTTGAGACGAGAGGCCACCACGGGACGCCGCCAGCGTGAAGTTGGGCACGTCCCTCTACAGGAGGAAAATTAGAAAATAGTCGGAAACTAGTCTGGGGACAAATTTCCGGTTATTTTCGATCATTTTTGTGTGTATTTTTGGGGGGACTATTTTAGGTTTCCCTTCCGAAATCCGCCTGCAGGGGGACATGCCCCACCCGGGCCGGGCGCGGCCCGTGTCTCGGCCCCTGCGGCCGGGAGTTTCTCCGAGCTCGCACGGGGACGGTCAGGCAGGCCTGGCACGCCGTTTTGCTGCAGAGCGTTCGGGAGCGGTCTCGGAGCATGCCGCAGCTCGCTGCACATCCTCCAGGCCCATCAGCTCCCCCTCCTCCTCCCCCTCCTCTTCCTCCTCCTCCTCTCAGAGATCCCCTGCTCGTCTCTACAGTGTGGGCCCATGCCAAGAAGCACCCTGCTTGCCTCCAGGGTTCCCCTGGTTTTCTCAAGTTTCGATTGGTTTTCTATGAAAAGCGTGACGTTCCCATACAAAAAATCAATGGACGTCCTGGGGTCTCCAGGCTGGGTTTCTTGTGGAAAGTTTCTTGTGGAAGGGCCCCTACTGTACATCCTCCAGGCCTGTCAGCTCTCAGAGGTCCCCTGCTCACCTCTATCCGGGTTTGTCTTCATCCTGTCTTCGTCGAGAAGACAAGCAGGGCACGTTTTGCAAAGGCTTGCATTTGCGCGCGATGAGGGAGGTCTTGGAGCTCATTGGGTGCAGGGGGGAGAGGTGTCCTGCGGGGGAGAGGGAGCAGAGAGACCGCGTGGGCAAAATAGGGGGTTCAGGGTTGCAATTGCGGGGGGACAGCCGCCGCATCGCTTATGGCCATTCCCATGCTCTCGGCATGGAGCAACGAGAAAGTTGTGTTACTCTGAAGTGTAATGCGTCTCCTCTGCTGCGGGCGTCAGCGTGACGCTCGTGTCCAGCACACACTTGGCTCAAACGTTGAGGAATGCCCAGATGTCGGTTACAATTTCCAACCCCTACCAGTGCAGCTTTGTGTGTGGCGACTCCTCGAAAGCCGCCCAGGAGTCCGTAACTTGATACAGTGCTCTTCATTCGGCCCTAATTGGTCGCATCATGCGACAGGTTCCGTCCCTGAGCGCGGAAAGACCATCATAATTGATAGGTGTTTGTTTCAGGTCCCAGGGGACCGTACACATGACATTTCGCTTCATCAGTTCGGGCAAGGCCGTAATATGTAGCATGTCAAGTTGCGTCCACGGGTCCAGGGAGCCGCAGCGTGTGGCATCTCGCTCTCTTAGACCCGGTGCGAGCGATAAGTGTGACGTCACAGACGTCTTCTTTCCAGAGGACGGTCACATGCGACACCGCATAGCACCTCCTTTCCTCAGGTCACAGAGGGACGAAACATTGTCAGGTCGGCTCCATCATTTGGAAGAATGACATAGTATGTAATAGTTCCCAGGTGGGCTGTGACCCCGTGAGTAGTCCTCATGTCATTGGTTGTTTGGTGCAGTTGAGCAGGATGCCTTGTTCTTGAATCCCTGGGGTTAAAGTATTCGACCGCCGATCTTTGGGATCGTTTCTGGGTTCGGGCAAGATGCACTCGGCAACCAGGCACATGCTTTTCTTTTGCTATGGCATGTTGAGCAATGCACGGCTATGCAATGCTATGCAACGTCATGCAGTGCGATGCCATGATATACGATACGATGCAGTGAGATGCATGGCGCATGCGTGCAATGCTATGCAATGATGTGATATGACGCTCTATACAGTGCCACTTTGTGCTAGGTCGTGCAATCATGCATTGTGCAGCATGGCGGTGATTTGTTATGACAAGTTACGCAGTGGTATCGATTGTGTGATGCGCAATGCTGATCAATTGTGTTACGCCATGATTGTGTGATGTGGCGCTGAGAGATGCATGACGATAATGTGTGGCTAGGGCATGGTGTGCATTGCAATGCAGTGCACTCTGCAGTATGCAATCCTATGCAGCGCGATGCTGTGACACGATGTGCTACGTCATTGGGGGTAATTGACATTATGACACGTCCTAACGTGCCGTGGGCACGGTATTGGATGACACATCCGCAGATGGTACACGATGTATTGTTTGGACATTGCCGAAGGTTTGAATCTTGTGAGAAAGAAAAAGTTCGTGTGCGAGTGAGCGTGCGTGTGTTGGCGCACGTGCGATCACGTCGCACTATTGAAGGCCGTAGCTCTTCGTGCGCACGACGGAACACGTGCACGGGTTCATTTAGCCCGACACGAGAAATTCTAGACGCTTCGCTTATCCCCACCAGCCCATCCCGAAACGATGTCCAGGCGAGTTGAGGTGATCAGGGAAGTGCGGCAGCAAAGAGGAGGACGGCCGAACCGTGCAAAGGAGTGAGGAGGAGAAGGAGGAGGTGGATGGATGGATGGATGAGGGAGTGGGAAGACGGAGGATGAATAGGATGAGGAGGAGGCGGAGGAGGAGGAGGAGGAGGAGGAAGAGAAGGAGTAGGAGCAGGAAGGAGGAACAGGAGGAGGAGGAGGAGGAGGGCAAGCACAAGGGCCAGAGGTCTCTTGGATGCCTCTAGGAGCCTCTTGGAGTATCTCTTGGGCGATTCTTGGGGGCCTCTTGGGACGTCTTGGGGGTCTCTTGGCGATCCTGGGGGGCTCTTCTGGGTCTTGGGTGCCTCGGGGGGGGGGGCCTCTTGGGGCCTCTGAGGGTCTTCTTCGGGGCCTTCTGGGGGCCTCTTGGGGGCCTCTTGGGGCCATCTTGGGGTCATCTTGGGACCTCTTGGGGCCTCCTGGGCGCTTCTTTGTGCCATCTTGGAGGAGATCTATCAAAGAAGAGCTGAGCTTTAATTAGCGTTGCCCCCCCAGGAGGCCAACATGGAGCCAAAACCCTGCTAAAATCAATGATTTTGGCTTCCTCGCCGAGGCTGTTTTGGACGCTCTGACCGCTCCCCGCCCCTCCTGTCCAGGTCAGTGGGGAGGGGGTAGGGGGAGGGGTAAACCCCTCCCCGAAGGGGAAGAGGGAGGGGTGGAAGAGGAAACGCCCTAAACCACGGACGCCCAGAGGGCTGGTGGGATTGTCAGTGCGCGCAAGGATCGTTCCTTCATCGTTCCGTCTTCTCTCATCACGTCTCCCCTTCCCCATCCACATCCCAACCTCGCTCGCAACCGCTTTTCTTTCCTCATCGTACGCTCCCCTCCTACCCCATCCCGCGCAGACCGTTCTTACTTCGCCCAGTGGCCTACAGGACGGTCGGCGGAGTCGTGGGACGATTATTCGAGGTTGCCGCCTCGCAGGAGCGGCGACATGTGCCGGCGGCACCAAGCTTATGCAGATTTAGGCGTTCCCCGATGTTTCTCTGATGGGATTGCTCTCTTCTTGCCCTTCCTGCGCGTGGCTTCTCCCGCTTCCTCTGGCCGCCAAAGGCTTGAGTCGCACCCGCCGGACGCGGCCAAGCAATCTCTTCTCGAGGCCGTGCGCGAGAAGCCTCCAGGACTCCACGTCGAGCGGGTCCGTCCCCAGAGGAGGACCTTTCGCGCGTAGTCTCGATGACTGCGCGTTCCAGACAGGTGGGTGACCCCGCGCCTTCTCCACAAGGAGGAGGTGCTCGGCCCCACGTGGTGCCTATAGGGTAAGAGAGGCTCTCAGCGCGGAGCCCAGAACAGCAGTAAGTTACTGCACTGTGGATGTGCGAGCTTTGTGGTGCAAATTTACGTGGTGCGATATCGGATGGCCTTCGGCTCGTCCCGCCACCATGCCGGGGTTGTGGGTGTGAAGCCGAGTGGACGTTCCTGCATCTATGTCAGTGGGTGCGCGCGTGTGTGTATTTGTGTGTTTGTGTGTGTGATTGTGTGTGTTAGTGTGTGTGTGTGTTCGTGTGTGCGTTTGTGTGTGTGTGTTTGTGTGAGTTCGTGTGTAGTTATGTGTGGCTGTGTGCGGTTTTGTGTGTGTGTGTTTGTGTATGTGTCCGTGTGTGATTGTATGTGTATTTGTGTGTAGTCTGTGTTTGTGTGTGTGTTTGCGCGTGTTTGTGTTTGCGTGTGTTTGTGTGTTGTGTGTACGTTTGTGAGTGTTTGTGTGTTGTGTGTGTGTTTGTTTGTGTGCTTGTGCGTTTGTGTGTTTGCGCGTGATTGTGTCTGTGCTTGTGTGTGTTTGTGTAAGGTTGTGTGTGCAGGTGTGTGAATGTGTGTACGTGTGTATGTTTGTGTGCTTGTGTGTGTTTGTTTGCGTGTGTTTGTGTGTGTGTGTGTTGGTCTGTGTGTCTTTGCGTGTGTTTGTTTGTGTGTGCGTGTGTTTGTGTGCGCGTGTGTTTGTGGGTGTCTTTACGTGTGTTTGGTTGTATGTGTGTTTGTGTGCGTGTGAATGTGTGTGTGGGTGTTTGCGTGTGTGTGTTTGTGTTTGTGTTTGTGTGTGGCTGTGTGTGGTCGTGTGTGGTTGTGCGTGTGTGTTTGTGTTTGTGTGTGGTTGTGGTTGTTTGTGTGTGTGTGGGTTTGTGTGTGTGGTTGTGTGTGTGGTTGTGTTTGTTTGTCCGTGTTTGCGTGTGTGTGTGTGTGTGTGTGTTTGTGTGGGTGTTCATTTGTGTATGTGTGTTTGTCTGTGTGTTATGGGTGTGCGTGCATGTGTGTGCGCGCGGGCGTGCGCATGCGCGTGCCCGCGCGCGCGCGCGGATCCCGAGTGCGCGCGTGCGCGCGCGTGTGTGTTTGTGTGTGTGTGCGTGCGTGCGTGCGTGCATGCGCGTGTGTCTGTGTGTATGCGTGCGTGCGTGCGCGCGCGCGTGTGTGTGTGTGTGTGTGTGCGTGTGAGTGTGCGTGTGCGTGTGCGTGTGCGTGTGCGTGTTCGTGTGCTTGTGCTTGTGCTTGTGCGTGTCCGTGTGCGTGTGCGTGTGCGATTGCGGTTGCGTGCGTGCATGCGTGTGCGTGTGCTTACGTGCGCGTGTGCGTGCGTGTACGTGTGCGTGTTCGTGCGTGTGCGTGCGTGCGCGTGCGTGTGCGTGCGTGTGTGTGCGTGTTCGTGCGTGTTCGTGCGTGTGCGTGCGTGTGTGCGTTGCGTTGTGCATGCGTGTGCGTGCTGTGGCGTCGTGATGTGCGTGCGTCGGCGTTTGTTGCGGTGCGTATGCGTGCGTGTGCGAGATGCGTGCGTGTGTGCGTGCGTGTGTGCGTTCATGTATGTGCGGGTGTGCGAGTTAGTGCGTGCTTGCTTGGCGTGCGTGCGTGTGCGTTGCGGTTTTTTTCCTTGTGTGCGTAGTGTGTGTGTGTGTGTGTGTGCGTGTGTGTGTGTGTGCGTGCGTGCGTGCGTGCGTGTGCGTGCGTGTGCGTGCGTGTGTGTGTGTGTGTGTTTGTCTGTTCGTGTGTGTGTGTGTGTGCGTGTACGTATGTGTATGCGTGTGTGATCGTGTGTGTGTGTGTGCGTGTGTGTGTGTGCGTGTATGCGTGTGCATGTGTGTGCGTCTGTGTGCGTGTGTGTCTGCGTGTGTGTTCGTGTGTGTCTGTGTTAGCGGGTGGCGTGTGTGTGTGTGTGTGTGCGTGCGTGCGTGCGTGTGTGCGTATGTGAGCGCGTTTGTGTGTGTGTGTCTGTGTATGTGCGTGTGTGTGTGTGTGTGCGTGTGTGTGTTGTGTGTGACTCGTGTGTGTGTGTGTGC